AAAACCGGACGCTATCAGCCCTCCCCCCCCACCCCCCCCCCCACTTCGTGTCCTGACAGTGGCACATGACAGAATTATCACTGAAATTAGCCAAAATCTTAGGAGAAGCACATGGCCCGATACGCGCGTGTGTGGGGTTAGAGCTGGGGTTCGGGCATGAGTGAGTCTCATTGTTCTGTCCCGCAAGCATTTCAACCGTGGTGTTTCAGCTTACAGGATCTCCGGTTTCGGGTTTAGGGTTTCAGGGTTTAGGGTTTTAGGGTTTAGGGCTTTAGGGTTTTAGGGTTTAGGGTTGAGGGTTTTAGGTTTTAGGGTTTTAGGGTTAAGGGTTTAGGGTTTTTGGGCTTTTGGTTTTTTGGGGTTTAGGGTTTAGGGTTTAGGGTACCTTGGGTCTAAGAAGATTGCTCCCAGCAAGGAGGAAGGTTTGACGGCATGGGTTGAGCAGCTTGAATTGAAGTTTAAGTCCTAGCTCCTGAACCCTGAAACCAATGGGTTTCTAGCGAAGGCTGGGCCCCGGAGATGTTCCGGTAGGGGTGCAAGTTTCCGGATCTGCTGTAGCATGGCATCTTATTGCTTCGGATTCGGGGCATTTTGGGGTTTGGGCAGGTGGAGTTCAGGGTAGTTCGGGGCTAATGGCAAACGGGTGCCCTGAGAGCAACGAGTGTATGCAGGTGGACGGCTACCGTTCCGGCCATACCATCGGTGTTTTTGAGACCGTGGTGGTGTCTGATGCAACCTGGGCGGTGTGGGAGATCGTGTTCGCGTGCCTGGATGTTAAACTTATCATTCAGTGCTTTCTCCTGGTTTTTAGGGTCAAGTAGGCCCTAACTTCCCCCAAGTCTTGTCGTTGAGCTACGTGAGTTTTGACCTCGCCGACTCACAGTCAGCTATCTAGAACTGCTGAAAGGAAGGACAGTCGGCCTAGGATCCTAAACCCTAAACCCTAAACAATAAACACCCCGAAACCCTAAACCCTAAAAAATAGAAACCCCGAAATCCTAAACCCTAAACCCTAAAGACTAAAAAAACCCTAAACCCCAAACCGGTTGTGCACCAGCACTTGAAACACGGCTAGCCACAGAGAGACCAGGATCGGGGACTTCACCTTCACGGCCTTTTTTGTGCTGGATGTTCTCGTGCGAATAACGATTTTACGATGCAAGTTCTGGAAGGTGCCAATGAACTACATTGATGTTGCCGTGTCTGGGACATCACTCTTGGAGATAGTCCTTTTCTATGTCACGAGTGCCAACTTGGCAGTCAATCCGATCCTTTTCCGACTGTTGCGCATCGGGAAATTGGCTAGAGCAATTCGCATGATTACCATGAACAGCGTGCTGGCTTCCTTGCATCTGCTCATTCGCTGCTTGGCAGCCAGCACGAACATCTTGTTCTGGACATTTTGCTTGATCGCCTTCTTTCAATGCGTTTCGGGCATGGTTGCTAACACACTTTGCCGGGACTTCATCAACGACGAAAGCCAGTCGCTGCAAGTGCGTGAAGATGTGTTTCGATACTACGGCCGCTCAGCTTGTCAGAAGATTTGTGCTGATACTCACGAAAGCTCCTTCCCTTCCATCATATATATATATATATGTTATCATGGGTAGACGTCTTCCTTTTGGCCCCCTTACCCATAGGCCCCTAAGTAGTTCCTTTTTGGGATTACCTCATAGGATTCTAAATATAAACCCAAAAAAGGAACTACTTAGGGGCCTATGGGTAGAGGCCGCTAAACCCGAAACCCTAAACCCTAAACCCCGCAGAGCCATGTTATGTTGAGGAACTTTCAGTCGGACTTTCCTGTCAATGTTTGAGCTGCTATTTGCGAACTGGAGCCCGCCGTGCCGAGTTTTGGTCGAGCCCCTTTGCCTGTTACAAGGGTTTAGGGTTTAGGATTTTGGGGTTTAGGGTTCAGGGTTTAGGGTTACAGCAAGCTCTGACTTTGTTTTTGGGCCCTGCAACTTGTCGTCGACCCTGTTCCGAACACTGATGCTAGAGGCTTGAGTACAAGGGTTCATAACAGTAAGAATGAGCCCTCAACGCCACTTGCGCCAAGTTTTCGCGTTGTGCCCTGCAGGAACATCAGCGAGTGGTTTTCCGTCTATTTCCTTCTGTACAGGCGTGGCGCGTGGGAGTACAAGGGTACGGTTCTTTGCAGTTTATGGCCTTTGCTACCTGAAGCTCCATAGCTCATTCCAGAGCTAGGATTCAGAAGCTATGGTTTAGGCTTCGGGTTTCACGATTTGGGCTCGTTGTGGTGAAAGAAAGCAACCAGAAGCACAGTTGCAACCACCGAACCCTAAACCCCTAAACCCCTAAATCCTAAACCCTAAACCCTAAACCCCTAAACCCCAAAGAACATAGACGAGTGACTTCGGGATTACAGGAGGAGTCCCGGACGACCTTTCTTCCTGTTTGTAGCCTTCATCTTGAACATAGGTAATAAAGTCTAGTGAAGTCCAGTTCACCCCAGACCTACACAGCCTTCGAGTCGGCATGAGCAGCCCGTGCTGATGTCAGGATGTGCACATGCCTTGTGTGCCGCCCTTTGTGAATGTTGGATCCTGGGTGCGGGGAATGGATGCAGATGAGTGTTGGAATGTTACTGGAAGAATCAGTGAGAAGGCACTTGAAGATATTTCCCTCGCTGCTATTGGCGCCTCTTTAGTCCCTGTTGTTGCTGTTGAGGAATGCTTGTTTCCGCTGCTGGCGAGCAGCCTTCCTTGCAGATACTGTTGTCATGGCCATGGACATGACTACTTGTATGTACTGGCAGCGTCTCTGCCATACAGTCAGGAAAATTACAGAAGGGATCTCAAGCCAGAAAGCTTGCAACTAAAGCCTGCCAGGAGGTTTCGATGGATGGGTTGATATACCTGACTTCCCTCCAGGTGTGTTCTTGGATACGCGGTGCTCAATGTGGTTTCTGCGGTCTTCGTACAGCAGACAATGAAAACGGCCAGCTCCGACGAAGAGCTTGCATTCAAGCAGAAGGAAAGAGCAGCTCGGGCAAGACCGTGATGTAGAGAGGGGTCGGAATACCTCCTTTAAAGGGCTCCCTTTAAAGAGTATTTTGCATTTTCGATCCCCAGAGCCCTCGTCGAAAATTTTGGGGTTTCAGGGCGCCCTGGGCAAAGTTCCGGGTTCCTTTCACTTGCGAAGGGCTGCTCTGCTTGAAGGCCAGGAGTGGCTCTGCCTGTGCAAGGGCAGAGCTCGCGTTTTGTCCCGCCGGTTTAGGGTTTAGGGTTTAGGGTAGGCCAGTCACAGCTGAAAGCAAGTGATCTTTTGACCGATCTCGCAGATATTTGCTAATCTTTTTTTTCTTGACCGCTGCACCGAGGACATTGCCATGTATACGAGGAAAGTGAGGAGACTGTTCCAGACGATGGATGTATCAGGGGATGGAGTCCTTAACTACGAAGAGTTTTCCAAGCTCGTCAAATCCCCGATGTTGAAGCTGCCCGGCTGCCTCCTATTCTTACTAGACTTAACGCTCAGCTGCCCTAAATTGGGGGGAGTACGAGTTTGTTGCTGGGTTTTCCTATTCTTGTAACTGACATACTTAACCTCCGTGGCAAGAGCCCACTGAAAGGCACCAGGGAATAGAGGGCAAGCACAGGTGAACAGATCTGTAACAAGAGACCCGTTCACTGCATGGTTTTGTACATTGGACGCAGCATATCAAACGCAAAGAAGCAAAACGAATGCACGGTTCAATTATGTAGCGACGACATGGAAGTGAACACAGGGCTCGCTCATAAGGTAGCAGAAGTAAGCAGAATATGAAGTCAGTGTTTTGGTTCATTCACTCGCTTACTCTTCATGTTCTGTGCTCTTCTTGCGTTGTGCCACCAGGCGTGATTTCGTTTAAGCAGAATCAAGCAGAACGCATTTCTTTCACAGACTCACTGCATTTGTTACTTGCTTCTTTCAATGATAAGTCATCACGGAATCCTCTATCGCTCGTGCCGTTCGCTTGTGTCTCGTTTCTTTATTCAAGCCACGCACTATGTTCGGACATTTGTGTTTTGATAAAGTAAGCCTACTGCTAGGTGTTAAGAGAGCCTTAGAAACTGGGTGCGGTTCCAGCAGCCACTGCAATGCTCGAGACGCCAGACTGTAGCGTTTTAGGGTTAGGGGTTTGGTCTCAATTGCAATCGGAATAGAAAAATGTGATGATGAAAGGATGAGACCAACAGCAAGTCAACAGTTGGTCGTGCAGTATAGCATGCCTTTAAAGTCAGAGTGCACGACCACAATTTGATTGCTTCTCCAAAGCTGAACCCTGCGAAAAGCCTATTCTGGATACTCTGGGCATCAGTAATCCCACGTCGGACCAAGCCAGGTTTTCACCCGACATGCACTTCTGCCGAGGTTTTGGATGAGCCAGTTGGAGCTAGAATACCACGATCTCATGTCCTTGTTCGAGTTGCTTGGCTGCGGTCTCACAGGGTTCAGGTGGTGGGAGGGAAGTTGAAACGGATTTCGGCATGTGAAGCTGTTGTAGCTCTTGGGGCTTAGATGTTCCTCTGAAGAATTCAGTACAGCACTTCTCCGCAGAGCACTGCAGGAGGAGACCCAACCCTCACTGTGCTGCCAAGCCAAGGGCAAACATACCTAAACCCCTTAACCCTAAACCCGAACCCCCTAAACCCTAAACCCCAAACCCTGAAAAGCCATGCAGCTGCTATGAGTTCGCAACCCTCCGCACCCTCAGCACATCAATCCCCAAAAGCCTAAGTCCTAAACTCAGAATGCCAAGACCCAAAAGTCCTAAATCCCAAACCTACGTGTTTAGCTGAAAAAGCCAAAAAATCCTCAAAAAAAAGCCCCCAAACTCGAAGCTCGAAGCTCCGAAGTTTCGGCGCCGGGGGAATCTGGGAGCAGGTTCTTGGATAATGGCGATGGTGAGATTACGCTTATGGAGTTCATAGAAGGCGCGGCTTTAGGGTTTATAGGGTTTAGGGCTTTAGGGTTTTAGGGTGTTTAGGGTTTTAGGGTTTTAGGGTGTTTAGGCTTTAGGGTTTTAGGGTTTTAGGGTTGTAGGGTTGTAGGGTTGTAGGGTTTAGGGTTTAGGGTTCAGCACGACAGCCGAAGGGGCACCGAAGTTTCTGGAACTGCGACCCAGGGAGTCTCTCCATGCGTTTATAAAAGGGTGTAGAGGCTTAGATGCCTTTTGTTTTGTATGAGGGTGGATGCTTCGGAGTTTCTGTTCTTTGGGCCTTTTCTTAGGGTCGAGGGCTGAATGCTTTGATTTCCGGAGTCTGGCTCGAGGTCGGGAAGGCCATTCTCTAAGGGTCCAAAGGGCCTAAGAATCATGTACTTGGGTTACGGATAGTGGTGTTGCAGGTTAGTATTCAGAAGAGTGTATGATCATGAGGTACTTAGTTACTTGGAGCCTTAAGGATTATTATGGATGTAGACCTCATCTTGAAGGGGGGCATTATGTAGTCCTACTATGCTATAGTAGCTGGTTCCGTACTATGAGTAGGCCAAAGCGTACCGCGAAACCTTCTTCTACTTCGAAAGGCTGTTGTATAACATGAAACACTTAGCTTCTGTGGCGTCTGCGATGCTGCCCGTGGCCGCGCTTGAACTCCCAATCAAGTCTATACCTTTGAGCTCAACACAGCAGCTTCTGCTCAGCACCCTCGCCTCGAATTCTCAACCCTACCTGCTTCACCCCGGTGAAACCCGAACAACTTTCTGGTTCTTAGTTCTTAGTAGGGAATGGGGGAAGGGATCCCTATGATAGTCCCTTAAGGTCCCCTATAGTCGTCCCAAAACCCCATTCCTCCATTCCCTACTAAGAACCAGTCCCTCTAAACCCTAAACCCCTAAACCCTAAACCCTAAGAGCCAGTCAGACAAACATAGATACAAGATGCCATGAACATCTGTCAGACCTTCGAAGATCTCGAACCTGCAGTCACAGTGCAAATCCCTAAGCCCCAAACCCTAAACCCGAAACCCCAAACCCCCGAAGAAAGAATTACCAATACTATTGTGGGGGTTCCTTATGATATTATATGTATAGCCCCAAAACCCTAGTAATTATCAAGGACCCCATATACAGCCCTAATTAAGCCCCGCCGAACCTCTGAACACCTCACACTGGCAAAAATCTCCCAAGCGTTCCCCAAACCTCAACCCTAAACCCTAAACCCACGTCCCCAGCCGCAAGTCTCGCACGCAGTTAATCCTTGCAGTGCTGAGGTTCAGGGTTCACGGAGCATATGGCGTGTTGAGTTAGGGAGCCTTCAACGTTTTGGGTTTAGGGCTTGGGGTTTAGGGGTTAGGGCTTACGATTTAGGGTTTAGGGTTTAATGTTTAAGGCTTAGGGTTAGGGGTTAGGGCTTAGGGTTTTGGTGGTAGACCCAGAGCCTGTACGGGTTAGGGGTTTAGGGTTTAGGGGTTTTGGGTTTAGTCTGCAACTACATACCCCACCCTCTGATGCATTTGTTTAAGCGATGCCTTCCTAAGCGAGTTTCATCCATCAGCAGACTTTGAGAGGCTCAACCCAAGGGGCTCGTCTACGCTCTAGAAGCCCTAAGTCTAGGACATGTTCAGGTGGGTAGCTACCGTTATAGGAGCCTTATAGACATACCTTGTAGACGCTATATATAGAAGCCCTATATACCCTAAACTCCCCACCTGTCGTTTCCTTTAACTAAGCTTAACCCGGAAAGAGTCCCTGGTTCAGGAGCGGCACGGCTCCGTGGTGGAGCCAAGGCGCTAGACATCTGGCGCATTGAGACCAAGGCTGCTTTCTGGCCTCTTCCTAAACCCTAAACCCCAAACCCTACGCCTCAAACCCGAAACCCTAAACACCGCACCCCAAACCCTAAACCCAAGACCCTAAACCACAAACCCTAAACCCCAAACCCCAAGCCCCCAAGCCCTGGCTTTGGGTTCAGGGTTTGCCAAGCTTGGGGGGTTCAGGGTATAGGGTCGCGAAGATAAGGGCTGAGGGTGCTGGGTTTCTGAGATTTGTGTGTGGGTGTTGGTGTCAAGATTTAGGGTTTACCCTAAGCCCTAAACCCTGAACCCTAAACTCTAACCCTAAACCCTGAACCCAGACGTTTTGGGGGGAGTGTTTAGCGTATCAACAACGGGACCAGAATCAACCCGACGACTAAGCTCAAATCCCTCAAACCTACACGCCAAGAGCCCTCGCACTCCTAAGCCCGGTCCTACGGTTGATGAGATAAACCCTGCATTACACAGAATAAGGAATATACCATCATTCCCATAGTTTAGGGGTCCTTAAGGTCATGCAGGATTTATAGTATCAACAGAAGGTTGGAAATTGACAGCTGCTGCACAAGATGGTCGCTATCGACTTTCTACTTGTACCACGTTTTCTGGGTGCAAAATCGCCTTGCAGAGCCCATGGAGCTGTATCGTTCTAAACTCCAGAGCCTCTCCTCTGCTTTGAAATCCTTAAGGGGCAATAGGAGGGACCCCTAATCCTAATACCCTATATAACCCTTATATACCCCTTTATACAGTCTCATAAAGCCCCTATACAACCCCAAGGGTCCCTTTAAGGGTCTCTCCTTTCGCCCCTTGAAATCCTCAGGCCCCTCCTATTCTGTGTTTGGCTTCGTCGTTGCTTTCGATGGTTTGGCCGACTATTCCCTGCCCCATGTAACCTGGGCAGCCGCAGGGCTGAATACTCGGTTAAGGTTTAGGGTTTAGGCTTTTAGGGTTTAGGGTTTAGCGTTTAGGGTTTAAGGTTTAGGGCTTAGGGTTAAGGAGCTGAATGTTGTAGCCTGCATGGTTGTAGCATGCTAGAGCCTAACCCGTGCTTGGCAGTTTCGGCGCCCATGATGATGATGAAGATGGTAACATTGGGGCCTTAATCATAACCTACATTATTGCTCGGGTTCCTTATGTTTACGATATTCTGAAAGAGCCCAAAACCCTATTCTAATTAGTAAGGCCGCAATATAAGTTGCTTGGACACTACGAAGCTTCGCGGCGTATTGAAGTCTCGGAGTGTACCGGCAGAAATGTCTGTAGTCGCCCGAAGGTGTGCAGCACAGTCTTCAGTGTCTTCCTCACCTAAAGGGCTCTGCGCTTCGGAGTTGAAACCTAAGACGCGAAGCACTTAAACCCCCAACACCCCAAAACCTTAGACGCACAGCCCCCTAAACCCTAAGCCATAATCCCCAAGACTCGGCACTTCACATCTTCGTTGGGCGATTGGAAGGTGGAGCTGCTCTTTCAGGAAGTCCTCAGCGCAATCAAAGAACTGACACAGGCCTGACTCCACTGCACAACTCGCCGCTTTTTGGGTCGAGGTTGCAGGGTTTGGCGGTTTAATTCCCTAAGTTCCTACTAAACTCACTATGATAGGAACCTCTTGAGAACTTTGGGACATGTACATAAATGAGGGTTCAAGGCTCCACCACCCTGCCATTCAAAGCTGAATCGGTTGATAACCGAAGTCTTTATGCAAGTCTCGCGCGCTCATTTCAATACGCTACCAGGGCTTCAGCTATGCCTCGACTAATCTCATGCAATCCAGCAGCACCCCAATATCCTGAACCTTCCACCCTAAACCATGTGCCTTGGAACACTACACATTCAGACTTCAGCGTGGCAATCCTAAGCTCTAAGCCCAAAACCCCTCGCTGTTCAGCCTCCTTCCAAGGGCATGGGGCTGACTCCGAGATGGAACAGGGACCAACAACAACGGATCCCAAACCCCAAACCCCAATCAAACACTAAACCGCTCAACCCCAGACTCAAAACCACCAAGTTCACCGCAACAGGAACAGGGAGGCACGGCCACTGTCGGCGAAGTGTTCAGCAAAGCGAGGCATGAGCTGATGGTCTTCTCTCTCACTCTCTCTGTACGTATATATGTATATGTATGTATATATATATATATATACATATATATATATATATATTCGGTCAAATAAATACACAGAGAGTTTCCCAACGTACCATGATATAGCATCATATGTCCTAGTATACGATTGTAGAGTATAGTGATATAATCACTATACTCTTTAGGGTAAACCTCATGTTCTAAGATTCGTGGGTTTTAGTGAGTCTGGGTTGTTTCGGCTACCAAGGAGCAGGATTCCGCAACAGGATGTGCGGTTTTGAATACGCTTTGATGTAAAGGTGAATTGAATAAGAGTCCTTCCGTCCCACACCGTGTAAAATGGGAAACCCTAAACTTTAAACCCTAAACTCCAAACCCGAAAGCCTAAGCGATGGATTTTGGGGTTTATGGTTTAGGGTGGAGGGCTTGGGGATCTAAATGGCTTTCGGGTTTTCGGCTTTGGGGCAATGACCGCAGATGCCTTGCCCATGTTGGGGTGGGACATTTTGGTTCAAAGGCACAGGGCCATCGCACAGCAAGGCGTATTTTCGTGATCCGAACGATGAAGTGTACAACGGTTGTCATCTGACTTCGGACAGCTGCAATTCTTGAAGCTATGACTCTGAATCTACAGCTCTAAGCTTGCACAGATCAAGTGACGTTCTCACTTGGAGCCTAAGAAACACAACAAACGGTATCACGATTCCACAAAAGACTATTTTGGGGGTTCTCATTATACATAACAGTACAAAAATATACCCCAAAGCCCTATTCTAATGATTAAGGCTGGGTTCAGAGGGCCTGCAAAAGGGTGAAGATTTTAGGATTTCGGGGTTTAGGCTTTGGGATGTGGGCGCTCAGTAGATTTAGGGGGTGGGTGCGGTGGGCCTTGAAAGGCTGTATCATCATATATGATACAGGGTCTAGGGTTTAGGGTTTAGTCAAGCCTGTCATAAGCTTCAGTGTTCTGATTTAGCGTCTGGGGGTGGCCTCTTCTTCATAGGATGAGTGGAGGCCAGGTGCAAAGGTCAACCCAGGCTGCAACGGTAGCATTCGGAGGGCTCGGGGCTTTGTGTTGTGGTTCCACTCTCCCCATCGGTATTTGCAGGAGCTTTAGTGCAGGATTTGGGGTTCAGGATTTTTCAGGTCAATGCTCCTGGTTTTCGGATTTCTGGCAGAACAGGGAGCCCCGATACCTCGAACTTGATCCTTCCAGGCCCCTCAGCCGGCGCTATCTGAAGCAATTGGTTACATTAACATGATACATCATCCTTTGCTTTCTTCCCATTAGAATGCTGCTCTGGTTTCGTGGTGTTTTTAATTAAACCTTAGAAACCGTAGGCCCCTAAACCCCTAAACCCTAAACCCTGAATCTCGAACCCTAAACCCTAAACCCTACAACCAACACCCTAAACCCCAAACCCTAGAACCAAAACCCTAAACCCTAAACCCTACAACCAAAACCCTAAACCCTAAACCCTAAACCGTCGGAGGTATCGCCACATCATCACCGCCGCTCGCGGCGCAGGAGCCTCCCAGGAGGATCTGCGGGTAGATGGAGACTTGGCTGAAGATTTAGGGTTTAGGGTTTAGGGTTTAGGCACATAGGGTTTAGGGCTTAGGGGTTTAGTATTTAGGGTTTATGGTTTAGGCAGATAGATGGAAGGGTTCAAGATCAATGGTTGAAGGTTAGGGTTTAGGGTTTTTTGGGGTTTCAGGATCTGCGCTTAATTAAGCAACAGATTAGGGGTTGAAGGTTAGGGTTTAGGGTTTTGGGTTTCAGGATCTGCTTTTAACTGAAAACAGATTAAGGGTTGAAGGTTAGGGTTTTGGGGATCTGCTTGTACTTGAAAACAGATTAAAGGTTAAAGGTTGAAGGTTAGGGTTTGAGTTTCGGGATTCAGCGGAAACTAGGGGTAAATGATGTAATTAGCAGATTCAGGTCTCTAGATTAAGACACGGTATGCTTAGCGTTTAGGGTTTAGGGTTTAGGGTATGCGCTTTGGGTGTGGGTGTACCGGTAAACAGCATGCTTCTTTGTGCTGACGGCTTCCATACAGGAGCTGCCCGTCGGTTTAGCATCGGTACTTATTATGGTTACTTAGTACTTGCCTGTCGGCATGAAGACGGCGATGATTCTGGCGGCGAGGTGTTGACTTGTTGCAAAAACATGAAATCTCATGGCTTTTGCTGCTTTGGCAATCGGTTCCTCAGTTGCTGTGATCACTCGGTTTATTCGGATTGTGGTTTGATCTCCTAAACCCTAAACCGTAAACAGCGCGGCTACTAGCAGTACAGCCACCGACCCCACGACCGCCAACGCCAACCCTGCTGCTGCAGCTGCCACCTGCCCCACCTCTGCCGACTTTACTGCAGTTTGTTGTAGGCGTATAGTGTAGTAAAATATAATATGGTATGGTATGGAATGGTATGGAATGGTATATCTGTATCTTACTACTTGTTCTACTGCTTGTACTGTACGACTATTGCGACTTGCGATAGCATCCAATGCTGCCGCTGCTGCTGCCGCTGCTCCTCCTCCGCTACTGGGGCGACTACTATCCGACTACTACTACGACGACTGTTACTACTCCCTGCGCCACGATGATGTCCACTTCTACTACCGGTAGAGGCTCCTTGTGCCCAAAAAGTATATGAGACTTTCCGAAAATTAGGGTACCTTATTTTGGGGTCCTTATAATAAAGGATTCTACTCATTATTTAGGATACTATATTGGGGTCCCCTATTTTCGGAAACCCCCATATACATAGGCCCTAAAGTGCCTATACAGGGACCCCTTTAATGCCTAAGTCTACACTATTTAGGCACATGGAGCCTTAGGGTAGGTGTTTCCTGCACCCTGGCCGTTCCCCGAGGGCCCAGCCCAGAAGTCATGGAAGTTGCCAATCCGAGGTTCGA